GAAGGAGAAGAAGAAAAATTTTAAGTCATTAAAAAACAAAAAAGGAAGGAGATTCATACAATTGGACCCCTGGGTGCCCTCACGAATTTTACACAAGTCCTATTTTACAGAACTGCACCTGTGATCCAAAAATTCTACTAAAAGAAGAGAATGTAGAGGTAATCATGACTCTATTATAGGCAAGAAATGCTCTTTGCGAATTAAAGAAAGCAGATAAACATGACTTGAGGGCTGGGTACACTGAGCTCTGGGCTTGGCACACATTATTTTATTTAATCCTCAAAATATTCCTGTAAGGTAGACTAAGGAAGCAACTCAAGGAGATGCCTCCCAGTGAACAAGTGTGATGAGAGGATCCAACTCAATCCCGAGTCATTTTCCCACTTCCCACAGTGCTGGATTTTTAAAGGCCAAACAACTTGTGGAGTCAAGACAACATTGAATGATAGAGGCAAAAATTTTTAAATAAGATTAAAATAAATGTTGGTATGAGATGAAAATATAAAACGGTGGAACAGATACACAATGAATCTTGGTATAAAGCTGTAACTTCAAAGATACAGCTTAACAGCAGTCCATCCCCTGGGAATCAAAACTTGCCTTGAAAATACTCCCAGTTAGGCAAATAAGACATCATCTATCTAATTCCAAATAAATGGTATAATTAATGTACTATGGAATAGCAATGATAAAAACAATGGTTGAGAAGAAGTTTTCAGGCATTTTGATCTGCCTCACTGGCTAAAAATTGGTAACATTCACAGAACTCACTGTTCTGTCTTTAAATTATTCCACTAGCTAATCTGCAACAATGCCTTTTTACATAGTGCTTTGCATATCGCTGTGCTGCTCATTAGCACAGTGTATATCTTTATTCATATAGCTAACACTTAGACACACTACCTAGAATTAAACATTGTTTCCATTGCTGAATTAATTACTTATGATATACATAGTCAAATGTCTATGACATATATAACACACGTATATATGTGTGTATATATATGTCCAGTCTCACTAAAGACATAGAAATTTTAAAAATTATGACTATATCAACCAGATGGGCAGAAAAGACACATAATGCCAAATCTATAGAAATCTTTCACTTTACAGAAAAAAAATACGTTTAGATTATCTTGTTTGAAGAGTCCAAAGAGCAGCAAAGAGACTCTGAAGTTTTTCTCTTTTAAATCTCACTAGGAGACTTACGATGAGGGTTTCCTCAACCACAGAACACTGGTCGGCTCAGACAATGGACATCTTCATTCACTCCCTTGGGTGAAAGGTCCTCTGGATCTTTTTCACTAGCTCCAGATTCAAGAACAGGCCACATATAAACCATCCAAGAAATACAGTTAGTTAGCTACATAATTCTCAAACACAGAAGTGACTTTTGCCTGGTAGATTTGCTGTCTCGAACTTCATGGCCAAAGAGTTCTTAAACCCACTTGTTGCATGTTAAGTCCATTCTTCGTATCCAGTCCTTAGTGGAAATAGGAAACAGCTGCTTTCCATCACTCAGAGACTATCCTTCATATTCTTGGAGACTATGATTAAGTCCCCCTCAGCATGCTTGCTTGCTCGCTCTAAACTAAATAAACCTAGTTCCTTTAGACCATATTTAGAAGGGTAATTTCCCAAACCTTTAATCATTTGGGTCACTAACAAGGATAAATGATGCTATATAAAAGTATTCCTCCTACAGCTTCATGATTTTTCCTCCGAACGGTCTAGAAAACCTTCTAATCACATCGTAAAATCTTGACTCTTAACTTTCAAGGTATCTTTTTCCTAAGAATAGGCACAACCTCACTATCCTCATTTATCTCCCATTTATCACCCACACTAAATTGAACTGTAAGAGAAGAAGGCATGGAAAATCAACGTGCTGCTTCATTCAAAATTTTATGCAAGAAGTGACGAGATCAGTCAACTTCTCATCCCATTTTAGCCTTTGCTGTCGGCCTGTCTTTCTCTGGTCTCTGAATAACCAGAGTATTGAATGTTAGCAATCATTGATATATAGTTGTTAATTGTTTTTCCAGATTCATGAGTCATTTGCTTCTTCTTCATTTCTTTATGCATCTTTTCTTTCTTTTTTTTTTTTT